TTGTGGCAGAAATAAGGAAACCTAAGGTGTTAAATTGGGAAATTCTGACTTTCCATGTTGGCAGCCCTGGGTAGATGTAAAGATGTAGCTGCTTTTGTCTCTAGTCACAGGATTGTGAACGCCGTCGTTCCCGCTCAAACTGAGAGTTTGCGGGTTTTTTCACCTTCAAAAGTCTCCTCTTGGGCACAGTGGTAGAGTGTCAGGCTTGTAACCGTGGGTTTGATTACTGTCGGGTTGCATTTAGAAGTTTGTTCTTCTTTCTCATATAATTACTATTTCTTCTTAGTTAAGCGTTCTTCTGTACAGATGGTCCTGTGAAGTTTGTCTTATGACCGAGTCCCACTAGAGCGACAAACAGAAACGAGCGACAAGCATCAAACCAGGTTCTTTCGCGATCTGACAGGTTTTTTAGAATAAAGGAGGCTATGCTCAAACACGAGCATCATGTACACAAGGGTATCTTTGGCAGACTTGCAATCACTAGTGCTTACTTCACAAGTACCGAACGACTAAAAGCCTGCCAAAGGTACCACTGCGAGCATGCTGCATGTGTAGGAGGCTTGTCCGTGTCAGTTGTCTTTGTTTTTCTGTGTAATGGGACTTGGGAATTACACATTTCCTAAACGGTTTCCATGGCATTCCCTCATACTTCCTTAAACGCATTCTGCGTTAAAATTGCTTTGCATTCCCCTTAAAGCTTCACGTTGGTGCCCCGCATCTGCTGCTGGACTGTACGGAAATTCGGAAACAAAGCCTTCTAGTGTCAGGCACATCAGCACGCCGCCGTGTTTCTAAAGACAACGTTTCTCTGCATGCAGATGTCCGGTTCCCTCGCAACTTTGTACCCACCTGCAAGAAGATCCTGGCACGTCTGTTCCGGGTCTTTGTCCACGTCTATATCCACCACTTCGACAAGTTGGTTGCCATTGGTGCCGTAAGTTTCTTTGAAGCGTTTCCAAATGGCATGCCGTGCGTTTCCGAGTTGTTGCCGAGCGTACGCCGAGCTTTCGCCGAGCTTTTGCCGAGCTTTTGCTGAACCTACTGTTCTTGTCTGGTTCGGGGCGTTTGCCAGAGCCAAATGTGAATGCTAGACCGGCCTCGAAATATGGGACTATCGCTTTTAACGAGTGGTCAATCTACTTGACCACTTGGCTGGGCGTATTGTCGCATACCACAAAGAGGCAGCTAGGTTGGGTATGTCTTCAGCTTTGCAGCACAATTAGGTACTTGGGTGGAGAGTTTTATCTAATACCATCATTTTCCCACGGTTCGGGTGCAATTTCAGTTGGGATTGAATAGAAAACTGCCGGGGGCTGCTTTGGAATTTATTTTGACAAAACTCTCATTAAAATTTGTATTCTTACCATTCTTCGAGATAAACGCCTCGGTAGCCGAAACACCAGTTTTTGTCTTTACGAGAATCCTCAGGATTGCACCCGACGGCTGGGTGGATAACTTCTGCGGCACACATTGTTGAAATCGTTCTCTCAGGAGCATAAGAAATGTGACAGCCCGAAAGTTTTTTTTATGCTCGGCTTGTATAGTTGCCATTATGGAGTATGCTGGTTTAACCCTTTAGCAGTTGAGGTTTTTTCCCGAAAGGTGTTTTCAGTGGTCGGGCTTTGTTTCCCAAGTATTAGTATAATGAAAGGGTCAATGCACAGATATTTTCTGAATTATCTAGTGGGAGCACAAAAGGGCTCAATATAATCCGACGTAACGCGGGCGCATTACGTTATGTTGTGTTGTCAAAGAGCCGGCACTCTGCAGTCCGGCGCCTTGGCGTAGCCATCGCATTCGGCGGTGCCATCGCGAAATAGGTCATGCTGTATTTTGCACCAGGCTAGCCTGGCCCAGGCGAGCACGCCTGCACGCTTGCCTGGCTTGCTGCACTCGCTCAGTAGAATTTGGAGTCTTGGAGCCTGCGAGCAATAGCTGTGGACTGTAGAGAGGCGCATCACTGGCACGCTGGGGCTAGCGTAGCTAGTGCCGATCGCCGCTGGCAGCTGCACCGAAGACGTCGGGATATGTCGAGCCCTATACAGTGCTTTCTGCCTGTCCGTGTTTAGAAACATCAAATGGAAATATTGAAGACGAAAAGTTGTCTCCTTTCTTTCATTTGGTTTCATTTTGGCCCATTCGCTTCCGCAACGTTCTGGCGGTTCCAGATTCCAAACCTGTGTGTACTTTATGGAGCTTCTCCGTCGGATGGCAAGCTCCCCTCCCTTAAATTCAATTCTAAGAAGCATTAGAAATCTGAATTAAAACATCCAGCTTTCCAGTTGCCACTACCACCAGAGCAGCCGATATGCGAAGCGACCATTTCTTGCGAATTACGTGCGGGAAGCGTCTTATACGGTGATGTGATTGCTGCACCATTTGTACCAAGCTGCTCCAAAGGGCTTGCCCAGCTACATCCTGCTACGTTTCTTCAAAATGTGAGGAATTTGCATCAATATTAAACCTAAATGTAGTTTCAATTTACTGGCACTCAAAATATAATAGTTCAAGCCCCACTACATGGCCTAGCTGCGACGGTAAGCTTACACAAATTTTCATAACTTTCGATTATCACTTTAAATAATGTTGTAGTACTACTATTCGATTTGATCTCTGTATCAAACACTGACAGTACTGAGAGGTTATGCGATACTTTACATGCTCGTGGTCTGTTTTAGTCGATTAGTTAGCTTTGTGGGGTGGGTTCCTCACTGTGCGCAGGTGTACTGCAGTGAAGCGACAACAGCGGAGTAAGCATTGCAAATTTCGCGTATCTTGCTTCAGCGCACCTGCGGTGTGCACGGTTTCGCGTTTAGGCAGGCACTTTCAAATGTGTAATCACTGCCATACATGAACGGCAACCACCGTCAGAGTGTTAAGAAAAACATTGGTTTGCATGGTCCTCCGGTCTATGTTACCATATTTCCTGGACTACAGTCTGCACCCAGTGCGTAGTCGGCAAAAGCAAATTTTTCCCGACAAAAATATGTTTTCTTTTTTTAGATAGTCGGCACCCAGTTCATAATCCGTATGTAAAAGAAAATTATCATACACTGGACGCCTTAAAAAATACTCGCTTTGTCAGCGCACAAAAAGGCTCGTATCATCAGAAATCATCATTGACATCATTGGTCATTTAAAAAATCTGTCATGTAAAATGATCTTGAAAAAAACCAGAAAAACTTGGTATAATGAGCATTTGGAGATAGTCCGCAAAGCGCAACATTAAATGTGTATAGTCTGCAGACTATAGTCTAAGAAAATATGATATTTACTTGTGTGGGTTTTTGCTGAGCCTCACAATGTACCGTTTTCCCCTCCGATTTTTACACCCTACACCCTCAAGTCGAATGAATTTATGAATTATTTGATATTTGCTCCGGCCTCTTGAGTAGATATGCTGGAGGGGTGATACGACGTTCTTGCACTGCAGGAGGCGCATGTGAACACCTGTTACAAGCACTTCTACTACTTCATCACCGAGTTTGATCTGGTGAGCCAGAAGGAGCTGGAACCTCTGGTGAGTGAGTCACGCTTGGGTGAATTCCTTCGGAAATGTAGTTTAATTTCATTTACAACTACTTTGCTCCAAAAGTAGTTAGATTACTACTAGAATTACTAGCACCCATAAGTCATTAATTACAATTGCGTGTTACTTTTGGAAAGTGATTAAATTACTTTGCAATTACTCTTTGCACTGAAAGATAGTTTACTCATTATCTGGAAGTTCAGGATACAGTGTAGTACTACGACATTTTACATTACAATCACTTTACGTGTATTTCTTTTACCGACTTTAGTCTATGGCAGCCGAGCACAATACAAGTCGGCCATTATATTAGTTTACAACCTCTCCAAGATTATTAGTGCCCTTTTTATTGCCAGGGTTCATAAGAAAAGGGATCATTTAGGTTGGTAGGCACTGGAGAAACCTAAGAGAGGCTCAAACTGTCATTCTTGACTGACACGAGTCTTGATAAGGTAATCAATGTGCATGTCACAGTTGTATTTATTTTGATTCTTCCTGTGCATGCTGGCGATTGCAGGCATTCTCTTTTTTCTCTAGGCGTCTTTCGTGCCCCCCTGCAGGTGCGGTGCCTCTAACAATTGCTCACCTGTGTGCAATGCAGCTGTGGCATTGTCTTTCTACTTTGTAGACGTCTTTTATAAAAGATGTTAAGATTTTGTCAGAATGCAGTGCAAAGTTTCATCTGTGTACATGAATTGCAAAAGAAATTATAGTGTCTTTTTATCAGGAACACACTGATATTGTTTAGGAAAACTATCGTTAAAAAACTAATGAAATAACCAACATTTTTTTTTTTACTAGATATGCAGTTGAATTTTCAGGAGTGTGCACCTGTGAAAACAAAGTTTCCAAAAAGTAGTTTATTTTATGCTAACATCGCTCTGAAAAATTAAATAAATTTCTTGCCTTTTATCTTGTTGACAAAATCTTAACCTATTTTTTAAAAGACATCCACAAAGTAAGAAACCACTGCCACAGCTGCGTTTCTCATTAAATTCCACTTACGGGGAAACACCCCCTAGGAGGGTCAACTTTTGAACGCTCGTCTTAAAATTAATGAAGTTTACAGGGTAGGCTGGTAATCATGCTAGAGGCTGTATCACAAGATTTCAGATCTGTCGGTTAAATAAGAAGGAAATTAGAGTAGCTTCTATCAGCAACACGCCTACATAGTTTAGTTAATCTATCGTCAAAAAAGTATTGCGATATTCAAGATTTTTATTTGCTAGATATGTAGCAGAATGCCTAGAGGGTGTGGCTATGGAACGTTTTTTCTAAAAAGTAATTTATTTCTATAAATTTTCTCTTCTGCAAAATTGGTCAACTTTTTGGTCTTCTGTGTCTTCGACAAAATGTGAACATTTTTTTATAAAAGACATCTGTAAAGTGACAAAAAAGTTCCATAGCCGCGTTATTATTAAATTTCAGTCAGGAAAAGGGAAGAATGAGCCTTCCCTGTTTTGCCATTATCAAACAATAGATTGACTAAAATGGAATTTATACCAAAAAGTGGATTGGAGAAAAATGTGTTCAAAGTGCTCCAAACCCTACCTTTTCTTTAGCTTTGGTGGACAGAAAATAATTTATAAAAACTTAACTATGCAGTAAAAATTAGTTGAACTTTTTGGGAATACTCTTTAGACGTTAGTGAATGTAAGTGTCATTTTTCAAAATCAACTTTTTTTGTAGAAATTTTTTTTTCTGGGCAGTGTCTCCTCTTAAGAAAAACAATGAGTGAGCCTTTCCTTTTGTCCTGTTACGAAAGGATAGTTTTCCTAAAGTGAAATTTATGCCAAAAAATGGAACAGAGACAAACATGTTCAAAGTGCTTTAATCTCTACCTTTCCTTTAGCATCGGTGGACCGAAAATAATTTATAAGAAAATAACTATGCTGTGTAAACAAATGAAACTTTCTGTGAATACTCTCTCAATATTGATGAATGTAAATGTGGCATTATTCAAAATCAACTTCTTTTACAGAAATATTTTTTTCCGGGTAGTGTCCTTTAAATGCAGCTGGTGCCTCGCATTATGTTTGTAAATGATGGTACCATGTGTTCTTTTGTGCTCAGACGGAGATGACGCAGAAAGTGTGCAAGGAGTCGGTGATCATGAGCCCGCGTCACAGATGAGGGAGAGCGGACGTCACGGTGGCACGTCGTCGTCGTCGTCGGTTCGGTCACCAAGTCGTCGCTTCAATTGTGCCTGGTGGCGAGCGCAACTTCTAGTCTGTCAGTGTCCCGTTCCTTGTCACTCAAAGTGACAGGGCTGAGGCCCTGCAAACGTCCATTTTGTTTGTTCTTTTCTGCTTGTGGTTTTTTTTTTTCTGGCAGTTCATTGATTTTTGTTGTGTCAGCGATGCACTTACCGAGACTCCACTCGTCGTCGTGTTGGTTTCGTAGAAGAGGACAGATCTTGTGAGGGCTTCCGTTTTTCGACGACTCCTCCGGTTGTTTGCAAAGCCCCACCGTAACTACAGTTTGTTTCGACGTATACACCTTTCCAAAAAACACTCAACCCCAGGGGCGACAAACTGTTTTCGAGACCAGTCACTGAGTTTGAGGCTAGACTCTCACCGGCGTCCCTCCTAACACTAACCGAGTGGACTGTGATTTCAATAGGCGCAGCCTGCGTACGCGCAGTTTCAAACGCTGCTGGCGGCTAAACTCTTGTCTTCTCCCGCTATGTTTTGTGTTTCATGGTACATGTATGTTCCCGAGGACATTGAGAAAGCATTGTGCCATATTTGAAAAAACAAAAAAAGCAAAAAAAAAAAAATCTAAGCTATTTTTGTTGGGTACGCGCGCCACAGAACGAATGCGACTGGAATGAATAGTTCTAGTTACAGTAAAACCTCGTTATAACAAAATGGGATATAACAAACTAATGGATATAACAAAGTAATCATAATTCCCCTTGCTTGCTATAGTGGGAAGAAATAGATATTGGCTATAACAAACTAATGGTTATAACAAAACAATTATGACCGCTTTTTCAACTTTGTTATAACGAGGTTTTACTGTATTTTTTTTTTTCTTACGATAAGTTTTGACGGCTCCGCGGGATTCGCCGCATGTGAAACGACGAAGCGCTTTGCTGTCAAAAATAAATTGCGACAGAAGAGGGGCGAAAGGCATACATTTTTTCACGCTCACAAATAACGTGTTTACCGATAGACAGGACGCGGACATACCATTGAGAAAGTGTTAACATTCGAACAATATATCGTACGTACCACACGATGCAGCGTTATCCGAAGAGAATTTATTTGAGAAAGATCTCAAGTAACACAGTCACAGTCGACGACAGTCACATCTTGACGATCGGGCGGAATCCGAAATTACTTTGTTTTGGGGAGAGCTTCCTTTTTTCACAACCGCACCAAGGCAAAGAAACAAACGCGACTGACCCGTTTCTCACTCCAACCCGGACAACTATTTTTAGAGAAGACCGAGGATTCCACGCGGATTATCTCTGGGAGGGGGGGAGAACAACGTTCGCAAAATCACGTCGAGGGTCGTTCGACGTCCTTCACCTCCTTCGTTTCCCGTGGTGAATGTCGAGCAGAAAAGCTCCAATTGCAGGCACTTACCAGCCTTATTTTTCACAATGGAAGATAAGTTAGATAACACAAAAAGGGTACGCAGCAGGCATAAAAAAAAATTAAGTGGAAACTTTCAAGAGGGGCGAGAAAACGTTGAATGCAAAACCGCAAAAACGTAGGTAGAGAACCGCGCTGAGTGGGTCTTCACAGTCCCAGAGAGTGGCAGAAAATTTCTAGCTGATAGAGGGCGCGAGAGTCGCGCCAGCCGCATCAGCATCAGCAACATGGCGGCGGCCTAGGAGCGTTTTTTGGAAAGGTGTATAGCGTGTTCCCGAAAAGTGTGCGGCGATTCTTTCGTCGCAAAATTGAAGCGTGCATCCCCGAACGCTCAGTCTCCATCGAAACGTAGCGCCAACGGCCGGGACCTGATGCCCAAGTTTCAGAACTAGCCGTCATCTTATTAAAAAGTTATACAGTCGCCGACCGATTTTTCGGACTTGGGGGGACCCCGAAATGGTCTAAATAATCAAGCGGTCCGAAAAATTGATCTCAGCCAAAATATCAAATTTCCATGCATATTCGTTCCTCTGCGTATTGGCCACTTTCCACTTGCTTGATGTCGATTTTACCTTCTCGTGCAACTTGCACTTTACATTGTTCTTTTCACTCGCTTGTTGATCTGTTTGATCATGGTGCTGTGCTTTGTCGGCCCCTTCGTTGGCACACACAGCGAAGTTGAACTTGGCGCCATTTGGTACTGTTTGGAGACAATGTTTAGTCCACCATGCTTGCTTCAATACTAAGCCTATCGCAAAAAAACTTTCACGCTCAAAGACCACAAGTACGGCAGACGGCTGCTCTTCTCGCGGTCGCACTTGAAAAACTCGAACCACGAGGAACACTGGAAGAGCCATAAGAATGGGCAGATGTCAACCATGTTGGCTATAGTGGAACCGGGAAAACCTGACTATAGCCTCAAACCAGCTTTTTTATTGCGTAGGACGGGGTGTCGAGGCTACAGGGCGAAATCGAAACAACCAAAACGGCGCGGCACTATCGCGGCGGTGTTTTGTGACCGTAAATTGGGGAAATCACGCAAATTATGTTTGAAATATTGAGCAATAAGCTTTATGGCGTCCGAAATTTCGGTCAATGTTATACATTAACTCTGTGGGGTGAGTGATGGTTCAGCGAAAACGTCCGCATAATCGGCCGGCGACTGTACCGTAAGATACCGCGGAGGTGCCCACTTTGTTCACGCGCCCTCTAATAACATTTTCCAAACCTAGGAATTCTGCAGGTTATACGTTAACCACCCGATTTGACCAGACAAGCGCCCGTGTCTGGATTAACCCGGATTTCAGTGAAAGTGGGGAGGGAGCCCCCACTGTATTTTACGTTGCGTGATTTTCTGAAACGTTCAACGGGAAAATGGGGGTCTTTCTCGGTGGTTTGAACCATTCAGCCCCATGTATTCGTGGGCGTCGTTGGCCACCATTTTACCACCGAAAATCGCTTATAACTTATGAATAAGACAACAGTTGGAATAAAGAAACATTGTGAATGTTTTTCAGGGACACCTTGTTTGTGCGAGCAAAGCCAAAGCTGCGAGCGCGAGCCCGTCGCCCATGCACCGCTCGGGTGTAAATGCTCGGCAGAGATGCCAAAAGCCTGGAGCTCGCTCTTGCGGCTTCTGCTATGCTCACGCTTAAGCTGAAATGGAGTAGAGCAAGGTGCGTCTCTGGCAAAGCTTCCAACGAAGCTTTGGTTCGTCAAACCCGCTCAACCCGCACTCACCCCAAAAAAGGTACACAGTATTACCGAAGTAAGGAGTGTGCTTGTTAGCCAATTAAGGAACCATGGTATTAGTAAACAAGGAAAGCAAAAGATTGCCTCATTACATATGTTTTTAACTCTTTCCTAACCACAAGAAAAGTAGAAATTTTCAAAGGATTCGCGCAACTGCTATTGAATTATTTAAATAATGGCATCTTCGTTTTGAAGACGGATGCAAGCAGTTGGCCACATTAGACATGTGAAGGCACCGTTCTTAAGGCTATTTTTGAGAGCCCACCAATTTGCGATAAAGCTCAAACTTACGTTGAAACCGAAACTAGAGTTCTTCGGCTATCCACGAGATCGTGGAACATAATTTTTCGCACCAAATTTAATTTGTTGACAATACTTGGAAACCATCGATCACAGGTGATCGATGGCCTATGGACGCGGTCAGGAAAGAGTTAAACATACTTAGAGTGCAGAGGGTCAACTAAACATTGCAATGGCAAGATTTTTTGCCGTTGTTCCAGTAAGCAGCTTCTGCAGTGTATGTAGTTGGGCTGGTTAATACATCAGAGCGGAAAAGACAGTGCGAAACACTCAACCAAAACAAAATTAGATTTTTGTCCCGCTTTTTTTTTTTTTTAACAATTGCTTTAGATTTATTTGGAACTATCAAATGTTTAGTTTAATTGATGTTTAATACAATTTGTGCTGATTGTAGTGGTGCAAGCTAACCCTGCATTAAATTGTGCTGCAAAACCCAAGCTAAAACTATGTTGGCCATCCGGAAGAGTTGCGGTGCCATTCAGTTATAGCCACTCAATCGAATTGTAACGTCCTAAACCACGTTGTATTACCTAAACCACATTGATAAGTTGTAGGGTAATCTCTTCCATGGGTTCGCTCAAATCTTAGAGTAAGGCCCAACATAGGTGAAGCAAACAGGACCCATTGGGTCTAGATGGTGCGGGCTGATCGATCATATTTCCCCTTGAACCATGAATCTGTTTTTATAACCCTGATCCCTGTGAGCATATCTAGCAACAGTAGCAAGTTGTTGACAACTGTTTGTCATTTCTCATTAGCTTCACGTAGCATGACTTCTGCTAGACCTTTCTTCAACCAGTTGGCTCTGCGATTCCGATGTTCCCTTTGAAAATTTTGATGAGATTTCTTTTATTGGAAGAGTTCATTTGTTGCATCTTATGCGTAGTGCAAGTTTGTCTGCTTCTTGCTCAGGGGTTGTGACGATATCAGAAGGCTGAGCTCTTATTGGCCGACTGAAAAAAATAGTGGGTAGACCTCAAGGCATCTGTCATTGAGGTCTACCCACTATCCTTTTAATCAAAGCCTAACAGAGCTTGGCGCTGTTCTGACGTCACTGCAACCCCTGCGCAAGAAGCAGACGACTTGCCCTCCGCATTGGTAAAACCCGAGTCCTGCCACACAACGAGATGCTTTCAGAACATATTTTGATTCCTTAGAAGGACTTTGGGATGGTTGGAACATGTGGTTTGAAAGTTTGTAGAGACTTCAGTGCAAATGCTCCTTCTTGAAGTTTAAGGTTTAAAGCACTTCACTTCCGTTTCCTTGACTCCGGCCGAAACGTGAAAACTGGCACACGTCCAGAAACGAAGGAACGCTTGCGCTGCTTTTTTCGGATGACGTTGCAGAGCATATTTTTCTTATTTACACGAGGTGCAACGCAGGAGTGACGACTGTGTGAAAGAAAGTGTGAAACCATGTGAACGTGGGTGTGTCTGAACGTGCAAAGATAATGGTGCTCGACTTTGTGTGTGTATTTGTAAATAAGCATGTTGCTTCTCCGGTGGTCTGGGCTTTCAGGCATCATGTTTTTTTCATGTGCTTTGTGAGGTTGCTGACATTTTGTGGCATCTTTTGGAATTGTCCTTCTTGCGGGGAAGTGTTTTGGCACCGAGAGACATAGTAGTTTTGTGGAGTGCGCACGTTACTGACAAGGAACCTTCTTCTGGTTGTCTTCCATGCTGATTGCTTCGTAACGTGAAGTTGGGACTTATGAAATGTGATTTGAGAGAGGGAAATTTGTGATTGTGGTGCGTAGATTGAAGCTACACCTGTTTTCAAAATTGGGACTTCCGCAAGTTCTAGATGCTTGGAACTGATGTCTGCACCTGGTGTCCGTGGGTCTGTGTGACTGAAATCTAATTTATCGATCGAGATTCCTCGAAGCATAATGTGGTTGTTGATTTT